CTCTTCCTTGTTCATGTGGTAGGTCATTTTGAACTGGTTGTAGCAGGAAGGCAAGGAGTGGAGGATGATGTCAATAGCCAAATCCTCATCAAACTTAACATTAAGTTTGAGAAGACGATCAACATACCTTTGCATTCTTTGCAAATGAGCAGTTAGGGATTCTCCACTCCCCATCCTCGCGGTGATCATGTTGGTAATGATCTCATAGATCTCTTGCCTCGCGCTCTAGTGGTACCTGTCCAACAAATCTTGATGCATCTCATATGGATACATGTCCTCATAGGACTTTTGGAGTTCGAGGTTCATGGTGGCTAGCATGATGCAATGAACTTTCGTCGCATCACGCTCGTGGGCCTCAAAGGCGGCCATCTTTTCAGGAGTAGCAACTTCTGCGTTGATCTTTTCCAGCTTCTCATCGAGGACATATTCTTTGTCCTCGTAGCGAGTTATCATGCGAATGTATCTCATCCACTCGTTGAAGTTTGACCCATCAAATGTCACCTTTTGACACAGGTTCATCAGCGAGAATGACCCAGAAGCGTTGTTGTTTGCGTTTGCGTTTGACATCTGAAATAGAAAGGAACAAAGTTTGAATAGAAATGAATCCCCAATTAAACACCTAAATGAGAAATTAGGGCTAGGATCCAACAACATTATTTACAACTTAGAAAAGGGATGCCGTAATCTAAAAGTAAATAATTTGAAGGTAAGTAAATGACGATTCACTAATTCTCACCATGAAAAACGAAAAGAGATTAAGTTTTAAATGTATTTGAAAATTCCTAGATTTCTTTTGAGATTCATTGAACATTTCAATGACATGTTTAAATCTCGATATGCACTTCAAATTTTGCGACTAGGATGTCGAGGATCGCAAACAAGTTGTGAATAACCATGCGAATCAACATGGTGCACTCAATGTCTTTATCACCTAATCAATGTGCTGGTTAGCCACGCACGCTCCATTGATCTATGATAAACATCGAGCCACCCTTTGTCACTAATGTCAATCCCAAATTAGTGTGCCGGTTAGCCACGCACGCTCCACTAACGTTTGACAAGGGTACAAAGTGTAATTCCATGGAATAGCATCAATTTTCACATTTTACCCTAAAGTAACTAAGATTGGGAATTTGAAAACATTGTAGTTACTTTGCAATATTCATTATACTTATAATGAGGAATTAAGTGCCCTATCCTATCCGTTCGGCTAACGACCCTCCACCAGTCAAGCAAGCGGTGGATGTGAGTGTACATCCATTAAGCGCCATTTTATATGCAGCAACCTTATACCCACCTTATAGACTGGCTTCGTGAATGAGGCCTACTAGCGATAAGACTAGCTTATTCTTATACATATATATTAATTAATCTTGTAATAATATAATAGTATAGGGTTGAATTTTAAACTTGTAAAATTCTAAGGGTTTGAAATTTAAATCATTCAAAATTAAACTTTTAATCACAAAATTTAAATTTCAAAACTTGAGGACAAGTTTTGAACTTTTCAAAACACAAGGGATCAAATAACAAATAATATAAATCAAACAATTAATTTAGTGATCATTAATATTTGACCTAATTCAATTTCTTGCAAGATAAGTTATCCAATTAATTCAAATAATCAATTTAATCATATAAGGAATTTATTATCTAATCAATTGGTAAATATCTTTTGTTTTTGGCAAGGATAGTCTCACAAAATCATTAAAATTCGAATTTTATCAGTAAACACAGATTAGGCAACTATTCCATAGCAAAAACAGCAAGAAATCCCGATATTGCCTCTGTCAAACGATCCGACTCGCCGAGTCACTCATGGACTCGCCGAGTAGGGCCGACTCGCCCAGTCCATGAAGAGACTCGCCGAGTCCAGTCGAACAGAAGCCAGAAAAACGATTTTCAGCATGTAAACAGTTATAGCATCACATACAACAGAAACCAATCAAGGCTCTGATACCACTGATGGGTTTTATGCATAAGAACAATCTGATGTGGTCATACAAACCCTAATGCTTGGATCTAGGTTTCTCTATTGTACATGCAATGAATCCAAGACTTATAAACCCTAATCTAGCATACATAATAACAAAATTAACATATAACATCAGATCTAGATGTTTACCTCTTCAAATAGTAGCTTGAATCTTCTTCTCTTGAGCTTAGAATCACAATTGTAATTCCTCTAATGGATCACAAACACCATACAAGCAAGAAGGCAACTTTTAGAGAGAGGAGGATCTTAATTTTCGGCCTAGGGTTTTCTCTTGGGAACAAGTGGCCGAAAATTGCATGCAAGGGTCTCTATTTATACTATAGGCTGCTAGGGTTTCAGTCTAAACCCTAATGGATACCTTAGCCACCAAGTAGCCCAAGGAACCTTCTGGAATAGGGCCCTTGGACGAAAATATGATGATCCCTCATCATAATTTCGTTCCCCCTTAGTCCATTAGGTTTCCTAGCCCAAAACTCAACTATCACACATTTGAGAGTTTATACCCCTTTATTTAATTAATCTCTTTTAGTCACCAAATTAATTCCTAATTAATTTATGACTAATACTAATTAAATAAATATGATTTCTCCTTTAATATATTATTCTTATAATATATTAATAAACCATAATATCCTCTCTCTTTCTTTAAATTACCTTGTCAAGTTGCTTTGGTGAAGGCAACCCAAAAGGACCATGCATAACCGGGTCAAGTACATACCAAATATAGTTACGGGCTTAGACATTAATCCAACACATGTTTCCCAACCTGACTCACTCAATCTATTTGTATCACAAGTATGGATACAAAGACACATTACACTAAGAGATTAAAGGAGATGTAAATCATTAGTGTAAATGAATGTAAGGTCTCTTAATGCTTATGTTTATGTATTGACAATGACATCCCAAAATTTTTAATATAATGAAAACACATTTCTTTGGAAATGTTTTGATAATTTACTTATTATATTTTTGGGAACAAATTCTGCAACATACTTCATCAAAATGATACTCTGATTTTCAAATAAGGCATAAACAAATCAGTCTTTTATGGCTGTGAAATTGGGGATGTCACATGTCAGGCGATTCTTATAAGGGAGTTCAGAGTACTCGGCTTAGAAGGGGTAATTTTTGGTTTGGAGTACCGCCACCGGAGCTTTATATCGCGAAAGGCTAATTTTTTTTCCTAAATTTAATTTTCTATTAGAAATATATTTACCTACCAATTTAAAACCACATCTTTTCTCCTTTCAATTCAATTACATTCTCCTCTGCATTCTTTATCTTTTTTTCTTTCATTCCATTCCATTTTTCTTTTTTCTCTCTACATTCCAACTCAATTTTTGAAAATGGATGTCATTACTAAACCAGTTGTATCTGCAGAATACTCCCAAATCGAAGAAATGGCATTGGCTCAAGCATACATTGACACATTTGACAATAGACACATGAGTCAAAATAGATTTTTATATTTTTGGCGATCAGTTCTATATCATTCTTAGCAGCAGCTTGAGGGTTCGAATCGTTCAACGTATCAATTTTTTTTTTCAAAATGGAAAGATATGCAAGGAAAAGTGAAAGAGTCTAATGTTATATTTACTCACAAGATAAATACCCGAGAGCCCGGAGTTTCCGACAAGAAGTTTTACATGCAACAAAAAAAGTATATCGTGAACACCATAATATGCAAGATTTTCGGCACCAGATGGTGCAGATGATTTTACAATATCACCGTTCCTTTTTTAGAATTTAAGAATTTCTTTTAGTTTTGTCGTTTATGGTTTTTTTAGTTATTTCGTTAGTCATTTGTAGTCTGGTTTTAATTTATATTATTATAGTGTGGTTTTTTAATTAAATGCTATTTTTTAAATTGTTTAAATTAGTATAAGTTTATTTTAAAGATTAAAATCTTGCAAACATGTTATCTTGTATTTAATTTTGTATTTTGTATTTTAATTTTATCAAAAATAGTGATGTGGGTAGTGGGGTAAGTGGGTTGTAAAATATGTATTTTGATATTTTATGGGACGAGAAAAATGAAAGAATTAGAAAGAGGAAAGTTGATGTAGAACTTCTGTCAGTGGATTGAGTGTGTTGGGAGGTACCACTCTCTCCTGTTAACAAAATCAAAGGTCGGCTATACTTGTAATTTTCATATCAATCATTTTTATATATTATACAAAAAGTGATTATGAACAGCTACCTCTAATTCGAGATAATTTATATAAAAAGCTAATAATTTAACTTGTTATCTTTAATATAGGGTTTATGTCATTTTTGGTCACTTAACTTTTGGTTTTCTACTCATTTGGTTACTTAACTCTTTTAAAGTTTTAAAAGTTCATCAAACTTTTGGTTTTATGCTCATTTAGTCACTTAACTTTTGGTTTGGTCACATTTAGTCACCTAACTTTTATAATTATGTTAATTTAGTCACTAAACTTTTAAATTTTTTCACTAACTAAGCAAAATTTTAAAAGTTAGGAGACTAAATTGACACAAATCTAAAAGTTAAGTGACCAAACCAAAAGTTAAGTAACTAAATGAGCACAAAGTCAAAAGTTTAATGATCTTTTAAAACTTAAAAAAAGTTAAGTGACCAATCCGCACAAAACCAAAAATTAAGTGACAAAAATGACCTAAACCCTTTAATATATGATATTATAACTTTGAACTGGGTTAACACCATTTTAATTAAAATCATGTGTAAAAGGAGCTTGCGGAACCAGCGTCATTGATCCGCCACCGGCTGCTTCTTATACCAAAGTACCCAAATTATACGGCCTATAAATTAACAACATGATTATACATAACAAAAGTTTTATTTTTTTAGATACATCTCGTCACACTAATTAAGGCTTATATTCAATTCCAGTTACATATTTTCTGTCATAACTGAATGACACATAATTCTTTATTCTACATGCTCCCGTATTGAAGTCATGCATACAATACAAACTAAGCTACAATTACAACAACTTTATTATTGTTGAACATAAAAACCTCAAGATCCTTCGTGTTTAAATACACAAATACGACTTGCAAGTTCCTGTATCTCATGGTCGCCTGCCACGCCTTTAAACTTGCTAACGTCGAGTTGCTCAAGTTCCTGGCACCCTTTTAGGATCATGATCAGAGTGTTCCTTTCAATGATTGAGAACCTTAAATCTAGAGTCTTAAGGTGTGGCAGCTGGGACGCTATGGCTAAAGCCACATCTTCATCCAACAAAGGAACATAAATACTTAAATGATTGAAGTTTCGACAGTGCTTACCAATGTTGGCAATGGTTTTCTTCAATCCGATCAAGGACGCAATTTGTAAAGCCTCTAAATCTTTCCAGTTGCAGATAGAGTTTGAGACTTCAAAGTTAATCACATAGCTCAAATAGCTCGGTAAAACCAAGAGCTTTAAAGAGGGGCATCTACATATAAGAAAAGAAAAAAGCAATAGTAATTTGGAGGACATGATTTAAGGGTGAAAGACGATACCCATTTTATGATTTCACACTTGTGTAAACTTACCGTTGAGCGATCCATGCAATTTGGCCTTCTTTAAGAAGCGATTTAGGGTGAAAGACAATCGCGGTTACAAGTCCATGGCTACGGCCGATGGCAAATTTAACGAACTTTTCAAAAGACTCATCTGCATATTTCGTTTGATCAAGTGGCACCACAAGACAACAATCAGACCATGAATCCTTGTCTAAAATCAATCTTGGAATCGGATGTTTGGAACTTCGTAAAGAAGGAGATTTAGTAAAGACGAGTTGTTCCCAACATTGAGGGTAGAATGTAGCCTCATACCAAGACTTGCAGACTAAAGGACAAGTCTCTACAAGTGATTCAATTCCGACTCTTCCAAAAACCTCAACCAGACAGTGAACTGGCAGCTCGTTCCAATCTCTTTGTTCCATCTTCGAAAAACCAAGAAATCAAAATATATTAAATGTAAACCATATTTTATTGTTCTAACTCTAATTATGAATATAAATTATAAATAAAACCAAATAAAATATTCAAGGTTCAGTATTGTGTATTTGTCGTAACGTAAAGGTTTATATTATTGTAATTTTGTTAGATAACTCAAATCATATCGGGACAAGTATATAATATGAAAATTAAAATAAAAAGTTAAAGGTAAATGAAATTATTGGTTCAAGGAAACCCACTTGTAAGCTCATAATCATCAACTGCTTTCTTTTTTCAATTTTTTATTTCACCATGAGAATAATGCTGATCACCTTTCTCGCAATCTAAGCAACATGCTTTAGTTGAACAAAATCATGTTATAGGAGATGAAGGAGCATAAAAGAATCAACTGAAACAGTATAAAATTGGAAATTAAAGAATGAAAACCAATCGATATATGCTTAACGGAAGAATATAGACAACAAACGGGGTTAATATGGCTCAGAAATAATACCAAAGAATTCTGACCTGGATGGAAAATGGCGCACTATGTTAGTATATAATGGCTGATATGAGTTAATATATATAATGTAAGATATGTGTTATAATGACAAACATTTATTAACGTATTGTGGAAGATATGATTTAAGGACGATGGAGCATTATTTAATGGCAGAAATGTATTAATATATAGTGGCGCCATGCCCATATATCCGGTTCGAACTTAGCCTCCATATTTGACCTTTGAACTAATAATCTATGTGGCCGTTGACTCCGGCCACTAAAGTAAAATAAAATCACAGTAAAATAGTTTAGGTTGGTTCATACCAAAAATGTGTCGGTTTGTATGTTATATACTCGTGATGTTATAATATCAATTAGAGAAATAAACAGCATATTATAACATCTTTTAATTTTTATATCATCATTTTTTATTATTATTTTTTTTTACTTTTACTTTTTTCGATTTATATTTTAATATTTGTAAAAACAAATATTTAATTAAAACATGCTATTTAAATAAATTCTAAATTAAACATAATTTGTAAAAACTAAAAATAACATACACAAAAAAACAATACAAGAAAAGTTTACGGTAGTCCTAATTTAAAAACAAAACAATGATACAATAGTCTTAGTTCAAATATCATTTCCAGATCTTCCCATTCATCGCATGAAGCACTTCCAAATCTCGGGGCGCCCAATCTTCCTCGCTACTATGAAGAATTGTTAAATCATTTGTCATTTGATCTTCCTCTGCTTCACTATGAAGGAATTCCAAGTTCTGACGTTGTACTTAAATTCTTTCTTTTGCTATTAAATTGTATGTGTTAAACTTATCTTTCATTCACACCAACTCTTGTGCCCTTCTTTCAGCTTCATCTACATATCGTTGAGCATACTTCGTTTTGTTGTGTCCGACCGGTCTTCGTGAGGTGGGGTGGGGGAGAGATCACTATGATGTCTTCCGAGATCTCATCGGTGCCAACGTTGAGGTCGATGTTAGTTCATGCATCGAAAATGTCAAACAAACTCGAATTTCGAGACCTCTTTGATTGTACCTCTGATGATGTTGGTGTTTTAATTCATTTTGGATCTTTTCTTACAATCTCCCATATTTTTTACATACTTAAAAACGTGACTCATTTCGACTCGATATTGCTCCCTCGCAACTCTAAACAAATCAACATCGTTCACACCACTTTGCTTTTGCACAACAAGCTTATTGTAGATCCCATTAAACTTTGTGCACCACTTTGCTACTAAGCATATTGGTATTGCGATGCGGAGGTTTCTTCATATGTGTTAGGTGCATTTTATGCACCTATTTGCACTTTTTTTCTATATTATTGCATTGCATTTAGGCTTAAACTCAAGCATTTTACATGTTTTTCGGGACATTTCATGATATTATTTCACTCACACAACTCTATGATATTTCAAGGACTTTTGAAGGTGGGATCTTGCTAAGGAAGGTGAGTACATTATGAGGACAAGATTCCACGACTTTTGGAGCATGTTGGAAGAAGTTGTAGAAAACTAGAAAAAAAACACCCATATAGAGACATCCACGACTATGGATTTGTTAGCCTGAAATTTCCACAGCCCGTGGATTTGGACCTATTCCAGCAATGTAGTTTGAAGTCGTGACCTATTTGAGCATCCTATTTTGTGAGTGTCCACGGGTCGTATTTTCTGCAATAAATATTTCCACCGACCATAGAAATGTGGACGTAGGTTTATTCGCAATTTATCATCTTTCCTAAAATTAGGCCACTTACTTCATTATTGCATATATCGACTTTTAGAGGAGAAGAAGCGATTTTCTGGAGCAATTTGAGTTTGATTAACACTTGGGAACATTTTATTTCATCTTTGTAAGCACTTTAATTTCATTTTCTAGACTTGTGATTTTGTTCTAACCATGTGTGGATACAACACTAGTTTCTTAAACATCATGTCTTCACTTCTTGGTTGTGTTTTCAATCATATGACTTTATGTTTGATTTTAGTTCCTATCTAATGAATTTGATTTTGATTCAATCGAATGTTTGATTCTAATTTTAGTTCTTATTAGCCATTTGAATTAGGGTTAGATCATATCTAAATTGCAAAATCTATAATTGTTTTTTTGAATTAGACCAAGTAACAAGCACTAAAATGATTTTTATTGAATGAATTTAGTGTAAATCTTTTTCACACACCCTTATGCTGCCAAGCTTGTGAGGAGTATTGAGTGTTGTTGGGAATATTCACATCAAACTTAATGCAACCTTTTGATTTCTATCTAAGAGCTTATTTAGACTTAAATTAGAAGGTTAGGTTACTTTCAAAGACCTTGTTTTGAATGTAACAACTTAGTGAATGGGAAGTGTTAGAGCTTGTTAACACTTTCAAGTACCAACTTAAAGAGAATTAAGTAAATATCATGTCATATTTGAATCACATTGCTAAATTGGCATACATAAAGCTGGAGTCTTTATAAAATCTGTAGTTATTTTAACTAATTGTCCATTTACTAGTTTCTTTAATCATTTATTCAAATTATTACATTGAACAACCCCACTTTTTAACCACTTTGTACCTTATGCAAACATGTATAAGCATTTGTCTCATGTATCTATGAATCGACCTTGCTTGTCTTGTATTACCTTTTAGTGCAATATAGTAGTGTATTTGTAGTCATTTTCTACCCTATCATTTGTTGGGTTTCAAACCCCTAACAAGTTGGCGTCGTTTTCGGGGGCACGGTGTTACTAATTGTTTATGCTTAGATCTTTTCGTATAGGTACACCACTACCGATTGACGTCGAGATAAAGAAGACTATAAACAGGTTACAGAAGCAAGAAAATCTTCGTAAGAAGCATACTAGTTTTGGGATATCCTCTTCATCCAACTCTCCGGCCATTAACATTTGGGGGGACATATCCCTCTCAATTGTACCAGAAACCAAAACAGAAACTCCCTCGCTCTCACCTCGACCACCATCACCTAGAGACACCGCTCCACCTTCCTTACCTACTCACAACATCCCATATACACCCTCAAAAATCTTAATTCCAACTCGTATCATGAGTGACCAGGGAGGTAACAATAATAATCGTCCACCATCGAATACACTCGAGTAAACCCTTCACCAATGGGTGAGGAAAGAGGTCACTCAACAACCTCTTTGCATCGCCTATCCGACTGTATCCAACCTTGAACTACAATTCAGAATCAATTACCTACTTACAACCTTTAGAGGACTCAAAAATGAAGACCCCCACAAGTTCTACACTAAATTACATGTTGGTTGTGTTGGCATGAAACTACACAATGTCACGGAGGATCAAATCAAACTTAGGGCATTCCCCTTTACAATACAGAACTTAGCAAAACATTGGATCTATTACCTCCCACCGGGGACGGTTAACACATGGGTAGATCTTACACGATTTTTTTGGCAAGTACTTCCCAGAAATGATGGCTTCAGCTCTACGCAGGGAAATTATAGGGATTAAGAAAAACATGGATGAAGCATTGTATGCATGTTGGGAAAGATTCAAGAAGTTGTACACATGATGTCTAACACATGTTATATCTGAATATAACCTTCTTTAATATTCTATGCATGTATACTACCATGGGAGAGACGACTCCTCATTGCTTCAAGTGGAGCGTCAATTGTTGATAAAAATCCATCAAAAATTTGGGCACTTATTAAAAATATGGTTGAAGACTCCAAGCATACCTCACATGAAGATAGTTGGTAAATGGACCAACCACAGGCAGTCAGAGAAGTGAGTACTCTACATATTACGACTCAGTTATCCGAGCTTACAAAGGTGGTTATGATGCTTACCAATGATAAAGGTGTACAAACCACACCCTGTCCTTGTGAAATATGTAATCAAATTGGGTATCCAACCGATATCTTCCCCCAACTTCAAGTGCGAGATTATGAAGAAGCAAATGTTTTGGGAGGATATTCTTGGCCTAATCAAAGAACTTATGATCAACCCCGAGAAAATAAGGGGGGAACAATAATCAAGGCATCGGTTATCAACCGAGACAACCACCGCAATATCAACGAAAGCCACTATTTCAACCTCATAATTTTCAATCAAGGCAGCCACAATAACTACCTCAACAAGCGGGTACATCAATCTTGTCTTTGGAAGACATTATCAAAAGCTTTGCTACTAGCACCCAAAAGCCTCCAAAAAGAAACTAAGGCTACCAAAAAAAATTTAGAGCAACAAATGGCTTAACTTGCTCAATTCGTAAGTAGGATGGAATCATAAGGAAAGCTACCATCTCAAACCGAGAAGAATCTGAAACACAATGAATGTGCTATTACCTTGAGAGGTTGAAAAGGCTATGATGTCCGAAGAATTTCAAGTGAAGAGGAGGAAGAAAATGATATTGAGGTAAATAAAGTTTTCATGAAAGATGAAAAAAAATGAGACTTCAAAGCTAAACAATCTAATAGAAACCAATGTGAAAGTTACTCCATTCTCATTTCCTGCAAGGCTGGCAAGCACAAAAAGAGAGCGAGAAAATGATGAGATCATGGAAATGTTCTGAAAGGTTGCAATAAACATCCCTCTTTTAGGTGCTATTATACAAATTCCTAAAAGTGCTAAGTTCCTTAAGGAACTTTTCACATCTAATAAAAAGCTTAAAGACAATCAAATAGTAAAAGTAGGAGAAAATATGTCAGGCGTGTTATAGAAACGGTTACCCAAGAAATGTAAGGATCTGGGGTGTATTGACGGTTCCTTGTAAAATGGGTAATATCTTTATGTCACGTGTTATGCTAGATCTTGGGACATCAGTTAATGTATTTCCTTACTTGAGCTACAAAACAATGGGAATCGAGCACCATACTCTCTGGGAAACCCTTCATGAGTACTGCAAAAACAAAGATAGATGTAGCTAATGGTACTTTATCCATGAAATTCGATGGTGAGGTGATTAATTTTAACATATTTCAAGCTATATGTTATCTTAGTGATATTCATCCTTTAAATTTCATAGATATTATTGACCTATGTACTAATGATTGTTTTCAGTTGTCTAGCGATGATATGATAACTACCATCTTGAGCAAACATATTGATGAGACAAGAGTCAACATCTTGGCTGAGAAATACAATTTGGAGGGTGAGTTG